GCTTCCGCTCCATGCTGAATGTAGCAGGCAGCCTCTTGTGCTTTTCATAGTGGTCACCCATATGCAGCAACCAGTGCATCTTGCGGGTTACGTGCTCCCCCCAGCCCGTTTCGAACCAAGAGCTCATGCACTTGTCGGCGGCCTCTCGCAACATGGATGGAAGCACACAACCATGCCCATGGCAGGCGGCCTGCAATAGTTCCACCATAAGGCACATCTGCAAAAAAGCTTCGCACTCGGATGGTAGGAAGCCTTTGTCAAGGATGCAGGTTCGGACGAAAAAGGCGAGCACCGGCAGCAAACTGAGCATTTCGGAAGCTGTCGTTTTGAACTTCCCCGCTTCTCTACAGGATTTCATCCGCTTGTTCTCGAAGACTTGCTTCAGCTTTACGTGTGCGAAGGAAGCCGGCTGTGTCCACAGATCCACGTATTTCTCCAGAGTGGCAAAAACATCCTTGAAGCCATGGTCCTTCGTGGCACTGAGAAGTAACCAGGTCGCATCATTCAATGTTCCATTACTCAAGCAGCAATGCATCCAATCGTGCACGAACATGGTTGCTGGTTTGACCACCCTCCTCAGCAGAGGCTCCGAAAAAATGCTTTCTGTGTTGAAGGTCCACCCAGCGGCTTGCTGCCACATGCCAAAGTCTTTGGCTGAACACCGGCCCTTCAGGTCGGCGAGCCTCGACCAAGAATCCCAAATATCGTCATCCGAAACCAAATGCAAGTCAGCATGTGCATGCTTGGGGATCTTCTCTTCGTTGCGATTGTCGGCTCGCTGATTGCCACACAACAAACAATACTTCGAACCCGAGTCACCTTTCACACTCCAAGCGAATTTGTGAGCTGCCCCGTCTTGTATTACCATGCTTGGCTCGAATGACAAATGAAACCCGCCCTTCGGCCCCTGCATCCAAACACCTGCCGCCGGGTCATGCTTAGAGTGCAAGAAGATACTGCGAAAGATGATTTTGAAGATCTGGCTGATGCTTCCCTCCAGCGAGGCCACAAAAGAGCTCCTGAGGAGTGCGATGGTGAGCCAGGCCTCTTCCATCGCAAGCACTTGAGCAGGGAAGTCTATGCATGAGAGATAGATGCACCAGCTCTTCCTGGAGGTTCGGGCTGCAAGGACATTGCCTGGGATTACCTCGTCTGAGTAGATCGCGAATCGGAGTGCTCTTCCGCCGGCTTTCTCTGCACAATCGTAGAAAGCACCACCGGCACGGCAAATCCCATCCAGCAAGCTGAAAACATTCACCAGCCAAAAAGCCACCGTGCCACCAGACACTGTCTTGGCTTCCTGCTTCTCCAAGAGAGGCCCGTAAGCTTCTTTCTTGCCCAAGTACGACCTTGTCGCTTCTCTCATCTGCTTCGGGTCTGTCATCTCTGGCATGCCATGATCATGAATATCCTGCAAGAGGCCATGCAGAGCACTCTTACTACAGTAAGGTGCTGCTCTTCTCAAAGAGTTCAACCGTTGCAGCTTCTGTGGCCGGTCGTCTGTCTTCGAAGAAGAGGAAGACATTATTGCTCAGGTAGAATCAATCGAATTTGGATGCAAGCAGACTATATGCAGAATGCATCTGCACATCTATAGATGCATGCAAAACTCAGCTACATCAACATAAAACTACAAAGTAACAAAAAAATAAACATTTTCCAACCCTGCAACTTCAAACCCCAATATAGATGTAGCTGTATACACACCTATACACACCGCCAGAATGTACATCGGAAGGAACTGTCGACGAGAAAATTCTGCGACCCGTATGGGTGCCAACTGCAAGACTTGGCTATTGAGCCTTACACAGTCCATGCATATGCATGGAGCTTCAACTCAACACCGGGTTTTGCTTCTGCCGTTTAAACACAAATGCCACAGCACAAAACCCGGGAACCGCCAAACAGAATGACGGTTGCATGTCTGTCTATAGAGCAAAACATATAACAAAGCATCCAGGCCACACCGTGGACTGGGAAGGTAGCTCCAAATGTGAAAACACACGGAGCTGTGGGCCCTAAGCGCCATTTCCGAGGCAATGTCTAAGAAGCACAAGGAAAGCAAAGCAAGGAACAATTCATATAGAACCCAGACCGAATCAGCATGGCATGCCTGCATAAGCCCTGTCATGCAGAGCTGCAGGGAGCTATCTGGCCATTCAAACATGAAGCCCGGCTGGGCTGGAATGACTTTTTGTTCTGCTGCTCGCTTGCCCGCTTCGAATGAAGCAGGATGCCATGGAACACGGTTGCAGTGATTAATGCACCGGGCAGCTTTTGCTGTACGAAGCAGCTTTTGCTGCAGTGCGAAGCTATATATAGCTACCCACCCATTGAAAACTCCAAGGCTAACTCGGTCACTTCTTGCTCTTGGACTTCTTGTTGCAGGCTTTGCCCTTTGCGAGGGCAAGCTGCCGTTTGGCATACCACTCCTTCCATTCCTCCCTCGTCAGGCGGAGTCCCTTGAACCCCGGATCCTGACACTGCGAACATCCTGTTCGACAGCCACGGCAGCGAATACAACCAAGTTTTAGCGGCGGGTCTGCACTGGCTTTCCCAACCGGCTTGGCTGCACTGGCTTTGGCCGAAGGCCTCTTCATGACTGCTTTGCCCTGATCTGGAGCCCCTCGCTTCTTATTTTCTACCGGCTAGCTTTGGGCCTGCAAAGCCTTGAAAGCCTCTTGCTCGATCGCCTCGAGCTTGCTGCTGCTTGCAGGTGTTGTCACGGCGGTTTCCTTCACATGCTCTTGGGGCTGGGGCTGCTCTGGGGGATCCTTTTCCTCCACAGGCACTACCTGAGTCAGGACAGGAGGAGCCACGGAGGAAGGAGTCTGCAGCATGGAGTCTCTGGTGCATTGCTGGGCTGGCACTCTAGGGGACGAGGAGGTCTGGGCGGCATGTTGGGGCGAGGCAATGTTCTGCAAAGCCTGCAGACTGCTTGAAGCAGCCAGGCTGCTGGGCACAGTGCCTTTGCTTTGCATGCTTGTGTTTGCTTGCACACCTTGCATACCGGATGCTATGGGGCATGGCTCCTGCAAAGCTCCCAAGCTGCCATTCCTTGCCGGCTGCACTGCATTGAAATTGTTCATGCCCGTGCCGCCGACCGTCTGCTGCAAGAACCTGTGCATGAGGGCTTGCAGTTGCAAGGCATCGTCACCAGCAGCATCCTTGCCCTTCTTCTTGTTCTTCTTCTCTTGATTCCACGACAACAAACTGGACGTGCTTCGCACCGGTGTCTCATTCACCACCCGGGCTACAAGACCTGGGAGGTCTCTCGGCTCCGGTGGGTCCTCTGGATCATAAGCATCCTTCATGAAGCCCGGTCCGAGCTCTGATGGGTGCAAAGGATAGACTGTCACTCCTGCTGCTTTTCGTGGAACTTGCACACTGAGGAAGACTTTGTGCAATTGCTCTGCGAGTCTGTAGATGTCGTCGTACGATGGAGCAATGCCGAGTCTTTCTATCTGACAAGTGACGATGATGCCGGTTGCATACTTTTTCGTCTCTTCTTTGAGACTCGTGAGCCCGAGCCTCCGGAGCCTCTCGCTGACGACCACTGTAGCATCCCAGCTGCTCGAAGTAGACAACTTCGCCCAATCTGACTTGGAGAGGTAGTTGCAGAGTTGCACGAGGGTCTGGGGTTTGCTAGTGAGTCGTACCTGGGACTGACCAGCGATTGTGGGGCCTGCAGCATCATCCAAGGCTTTGAGCAAGCCATCTTTGCTGTTGCCGGACAAGCTAGATTCGCCCACTGCTTCCATCATTTTGCACAGCTGATCCGCCGTCCATCCCGGGTGATGGGCCATGCGATCTTGCAGTGCCTGCACGAGCTTAGGCTCCATGTCGGTGCCGGGCCTCATGCCCACCAGCCTCTGGATGGAGTTCATCTCCTGCACGAAGTCATCGGCGGTCCACCGAGCCATGGTCTCTGACTGGTCTCTGGACCCGGCAGAGCACCACAAGTGAAACAGAAGTCGCCTAAAGCAACAATGGCGACAAGTGTTCATGCTAGGAAAGCACAGAAAGTCGTGCATGGTTGTCAGGAAGCAGGATCACTGCTGCATGTAAACAACGAAAAGCTTTATCTGCAACTGCAAACAAAACTACATAGAAGCACAAAGCTGCATGGTTTTTCAAGAAGCAGGATCACTGCTGCATGGTTTTCAAGAAGCAGGAACACTGCCGCATGGACCAGACAATAACTTGCATGTGCACAGCAACAAGAGAGAAGCACACATGATTAGTGCTGCATCACCAAAAACAGAACTGGCACACCAGGCACCTTTAAAAAACCTTGTGTATGGAGGGGTGTGGGGAGGGCGGGGGGGGGGACAGCTGGGTGGAGGGCGACGGGGGGAGAGGTCCGGCGATTGGGGTTTGGGTTGGTGGTGTGGGGTCGACCTTGGTGCTTGTGCTTTTGTCCGACTGAGTATGGGGGTGCCAAGCATATCATGCTTCACAACCAAAGCACAAGCAGAACTTGTGCTGCATGGGAAAAGCACATCATGCATGCATCACAACCAAAGCACAAGCAAAACTTGTGCTGCATGGGAAAAGCACATCAAAGAGTGCTGCATGCATTGTTCCAGGACAAGGGGAAAGGCTTCTTGTGGGAGCTCGGGCAAGAACTGAAACTATGCTGTTGGGTGGAGGAGAATGCAGCTTCAAAGGTGCAATGGCTGATCCCGTGAAGGCTTTCTAAAGGGCTTGGCAAGGGCTGCTTCCAAACAATGTTTACGATACCACCAAAACACACAAGTTGCTCATGAACAACTTTGTTTCCAAACCCCTGAAACCAAGATGCTTATGAGCAACTGTGATCCCATAAGTCTGATTCAGAGATGCTCCAGAGCAACTGTCCGGGATAGGGTTTATATAAATTATAAGGGTGGGATCCCCAAGATGTCTATGAGCAACTCTGAAATTAAAGTTTATTCCCAAAGATGCTCATGAGCAACTTGTTGCTCCCCTCGCAAAGCTGTCTTTTTTGCTCTGGCCGCCTAATAATCATACTGAGGGTCAGCACCAAACTGGTCCACATACCGCATGTGCTCCTCCAGGCGGCTCCGGAACGTCGGGTCCCCTCTGAATGCACTCGTGAGGTGGTCCATGCGCCCGAAGTCTTTCGAGAGCCAAGCCGCCGTCATGGCAATGGCTCTCGCCTGCCAGCCGCTCTGAAGCTTTGTGCTCCGTCTCGAGTCCATCCAGGGCCTTGGCAGGGCACTGCTCGAGGATGTCGCCGCCTGACCCTGCTCCCTCATAGCTGGTGCTGGAGGAGGTCTGTTAACCCCCAGCTTCCTGAACTCGTCCTCGGCAGCCACGGCCTCTGCCTTTCTCTTTTTTGGCGGTGGGCCCTTCCACAGCGGTGCTTGCATCGCCTCCACAGGCTCTAAGACAGGAGCCGCCGTCGCCGCCGCCCGGGCGGTCGAAAAAACCTCTGTCTTCCCTCCTGCATCCTCCTGCTTCATCTCGCGGCCAGGCCCCTGAGTCTCTGGACCGCCCACAAAGCCAGGACCCATTTGCACAGCAATCGGAATAACACCAGCTGGTGTGCCCATCCTCTGCATGCCAGCTGCACCTGCTGTGCCCATTGCCTGCAAGCCAGCTGCACCTGCTGTGCCCATTGTCTGCAAGCCAGCACCTGCTGTGGCCATCGTCTGCAAGCCAGCACCTGCTGTGGTCATAGGAGCACCAGTCGGCACAGCCCAAGGGAAGCCATAGCCAGCAAACTCAGGCATAACCATGCCAGGCACCAACGGTGCACATACCGGTGCCACCGGTGCCACCGGTGCCGCCGCCATCCCAGGTGCAGGTGGAAACGGCGCTTTTGAAGCCGTTGCCATTACTGCCTCAGACTTAAGGGTTCGTGCAGGGTCGGTTTCTGTTGTGCTTTACTACATAACAGAAAAGCTTTCAACTTCTGCTACACCAAACAAGAGTCTGGGCCCACTCCTGCCCACACAGGATCCTCCACACCCAAGGGAGCATTGGCAGTCTCCGCCGCCTGCTTCTCCTTGGGCTGCTCTGATCCTGCAGGGCTCCATGCAGCAAAGGCTGCTCTTCAAGTAATGCACAAAAGCCCTGCCGCACATGAAACGAATCCAAAGCCCCCCCAGTCCTCCTTGCATTGCCTTGTCATCAAACTCGTGAGGGTACGTGGCAGCAGCCCTTTCCCACCACTCTTGGTCCTGCTCGGACAAGGTAGCAAACCAGGATCGCCACTCGGCCTTGCTCCATCCTCGCACCTGCTCGCGGACCCATGCGAGCTCGCCGTCCGTCAAGTCAAGCGGCTCATAGTACTTGACCTCCGCATCCTCTTCCTCCTCCTCCTCGTCCTTCTTTGTCGACGGCTCAGTTGCCATGATCGCGAGGCACGAGTGGCTCCAAACCTATTTAAATGGTTTGGAGCTTGTAGTTTGACATGGAGATTCCACATGCATGGTCAGAGCTCGGCATGACCAGAGATTCTTCTGTCTCACACACAACATGGATTGCATCTCTGGGAACCTACTATTATGCAGGCTGCAGGAGCTCAACCACAACATGTGAAAGTGTTTCCCACAATCGTCTGGTGTTTCCCACATGCATGGAATGGTTCATGCATCTTCTGCTGCATGCTTCTACTGCTTTCCTGCCTTGGGGCGGCACGGGTGCACAGAATCATTGACATGCTCCTCATTGCACAATTCAAGTGTCTCTTGCTCGCAAACCGACATGCATCATGAAGCCCTGTCAAGCAGGACTGCATGCAAGATCACATGCAAGGTCTGAGGGAACATGAAAAGCCCTTCGAGAGGACTGCATGCAGAAACACAAAGCAATACATCATCAAGCACCATCCATTCTAGCACATGTACCCTGCTCACGAACCCTACAAGGAAACGGACTTTGTTTCCTTTTCTATGGTATACCAGCGAGACACACCTCCAGCTCAATGAGAATCCTCCTCCTTCTCTTCAGAGGAACATTGCCGTCCAGCTCTACGTCTCCGGTAAACCCGCCTCTCGTCGGGATCCGCATCCTGCAAAGAAGCTTGGCAGTTACCTAGCACCAAAAATAACAGACACATTCATGCAGCTATTACATTGCTAAGAGTCCTCAGTGATCTTGGCGAAAACCATTTCCAAGCTCTCTGACTCCAACAGGATCAACAAATCCATGGTGGACTTGTGCTTGGCTTGAACCCCGATCTGAATGCCGTCCACCATCACATATTCAACATTCGGCTGCACTTTCTGTTTTTTCTTCTTCGATTCCGGAAAGAGTTCATCCGCCCCCGATCCCTTGCCCTCGCTTTTCAAGAAGTTCTGGATTGCCTCCTCCCTGCCCTCTTTCAGTTTTTGCAAACCTGGAGAAGCAGTCAGACTTGCTTGCCTAGAACCCAGGAGTAACTTCATCAGCACCCTGTTCGAGGGCTGGATCTTCAGGTACTTGACACCGGAAATCTCGACGATCAAATCGTTGGGCACCACGACCTCACGAGCTTGCCATGTAATCGTCGTGCAAGTGCCGATGCTGACCATGGTGCTTCCAGCAGCAACAAAAGCGCTCAGCTCAAAAGAACAGCTTGAACCCAACAACTGAGTTGTGGTAGATCAAAGCAACAAGTCAGCAAAACACGAGAAATGCAAAAGCTCGGAGGAGCTGCATGACCGAACATGCTTGCTTCAAGCATGCATTCTGCATCACAACTACAACCAACACGAAGCAACAGGCTGGCTGTTGCTGCATGATGCACAAACACATGTTTCCTACAGATAACAACCAAAACGAAGCAACAGGCTGGCTGTTGCTGCATGATGCACCAACACATCTATTCTGCAGAGACAACCAACCCTTCACAGCAGCTGCCGGCAAAAACCCTGGTGGCATGCCAGGTGTATCAAAATCCTGCAGCCGACGTGGCATGGTGCTAGATCGATCAGGTAGCCTTCCTCTTCAAGGAACCCTTCTCCTTCTCCTGCTTCTGCAGCAGCTCCTTCGAGGCTTGCATGAGCATCGTGTGCTTGGCCACCTTCTTGTTGTTGACGAGCATGGGCAATTTCATGCCGGCGACGGTTTTCCACTGCACAACCATGTTGACCTCTTCCTCCGAGGACGTGGTCTTGATCCAGTAGAAGGGCACGATGGTATCAGTCTTCTTCGGCCTTATAAGACATGCATAGCTTTATGATTTAGGCGAAAGCCTCTAAATCCTATTTTTCTTTGCAGTCGGGCTGCTCCCCGAAATCCTTCAACTGCGGAAAAGGAGACAACTGGTACTTGTTGCCATTCCATTCGACCCATAGACTGAGCTTCTGCCCTTCTTTGGCTCTCGTCATGTTCGCCAGAGGAATGAGGCGAAGCTTCTCCTCGCAAAGCTCTCCGAGGTGTATACCGCCGTAGGGTGGATGAAATGCAAGCATGAAGAATCGCCGGTGTTCTGGTCTGCGAAGATCTGGAAAAGCTGCTGCTGCCCATCCGCCAAGATCTTCGCATCGTTCAAGACAGCACTGCCACCGTAGGTGAACTTAACGGATTCGTCCGCAGCCAACACACTCGGCACTGGGAGGCGAGTGACCTTCCACTTCTTGAAGTGCTCTGGCGATGTCATAACGATGTCGGGCGAGGCAAACAAGGGGGTGTGCACGAACTTGGCCTCGTCATTCTCGAGCCCAGCGAAAACAAAGATCTTGTCTGGGTAGTCCGCATGCACGTACTTCCCATCCTTCTTCAAGTGCGGGTTCTGCAGCAAAGCTTGCTCCCCTACACTCATGCCACCCAAGAGATTCAGGGGCCGGTCCTCCTCCCGATTCTCATCCGCTTCGCTCCCGCCAGCAGAGCTAGCACCCGATGGGTTCGTGTTCAAAGCTTCGGTAGCGAAGAGCTGGGCCACCTTCTCCTGAGACTCATACATAACCTTCTCACGACCATACTTCTCCTTCTTAGTGAGGAGGAGAGAAAGTCGCACCATCATCCGGCCGAGTGCTCGCTGCACTGCTGGGGTTTCACCTGCATCTCGATAGACCTGGTATCCGTGCTCCAGAATCTGCTCAGCCTGAAGGAGGGCCTGTCGGTGCTGGGCGCTTTTGAGGCGGTCCAGATCCTGCTTGACAAGCAGACGGGCTGTGCCGTCGACAACTTTCGGGCTTGTGAGCTGACAAGCTAGGAGGGCGGCTCGCAGCAATGGGAACTGAGTCGAGGGCTCCTGCAGATCCCAAGCCGTAATGGCCTTAAAAGTTTCCTCTCCTACTGCAACAGTAAGGGCCAAATCCTTGGCAAAACTTGCCAAGAATGAGATCAAAGGAAAGGGGCTGCCGCCTCCAAATTTCTGGACATAAACTCCTACATGCTCCATATAGTCTTCGCATGCAGGTTTGGATGCCTTGACTGAGTTCACGGCATCCTTCACCGTGGAGCCAGACGTGCACATCAAAGCAACTTGCTGTGCAGCTTCGATTTCTTGGCAGGCTAGGCCTACCGAATGAACCGAATTCAAAACCATCTGGACGAAGGCTGGGAGGTTGGGGGCCATGGCCTCTGCCCGCCAAGAAATGAGGAGCCAGGGCCACCCCTGATTCACTGCATCTCGCATGCACTCATCCTCCAGGCTGAGGCTGCCTCCCGAGTTGGGTCGCTTGCATTTCATCAAGGATGCCTTTAAATAGGCGGTGGTGTGACTGGAGCTCACCGTCATGGCTCTTTCCGACCCCAAGACCGGTGACAACAGCCCGTTGGACCTCTCACTCAAGTCCGTGTTCGCCCGGATTTGCTCGTTCCGCTTGTCTTCTAGGGGAGAAAGTTCGATCGCGATCGAGTCCGTGAGCAGCGAAGGTCTGAAACCAAGATCCAAAAGCTTTTGTCCTTTGCTATTAAAACATCCAGCGGATTGAGCATGCTGCCTCCGCGATTGTGAGGATGAACCAGTAGCTCTGCTGGCCTCAAGGTGGTGGTGTAGGCCAGCTGCGATTCTTTCAAGAAGTTGACAAGCCTGTCGAGCTTTCTGTTGGGCTGGACCTCCGTGTTGTCCATGATTCGGGCGATCTCTGCGGCGAGTTTCTCCTCCATGGCCGGGCCTGGGGTCCTTTGAATTTTTCGCCTTGCAAGGGGCCTCCTGATCTGCAAATATGTGCTTTGGATGCACCTATACACAGCCACACTTGATTCCAAGCACATCAAGCTATGCACCGAGGACCCTCCTGGTTTTCTTTTTCATAAACTGCCCGCATGATGCCCATCTAATCCATGCCGTTCAAATCAATCCCTTGCCCCTGGCCCTGGCCCTGGGAAAGATTCTGCAAGGCCATGCGGTTCTGCCGAACCGTACAGGACGGCTTGTGCACCCCTAGCCCTGACTTGCACCAGCTACAGCACCAATGGTGGGGACTCGTCGTCATCCTGTCGCACTGTGGCGAGCCTTGACAAGGAACGTTCGTGCCAGGTGGCAGCTCGCTACTGCGATGCACTTCAACATCCTCACATCTCCGAGAATGGTTGCCATAGTTCTTGCGACAATTGGAGCAGCAATAATTCTTCGAAGCTCGGCATAATCTCTGGCACCCGGGAGTAGCACAGGCATGCCATCCAACCAAATCCATTATTCACAGGAACAAAGCTGGAAGTCAGGAGGGAACTCGGGCAGAAAACTCTATATAGTCCACACAACATCCATGCAATCAAGACCATGCACGAACAAGAAAACAACAACAAGAAGCCATGGAGGCTGAATGCAAGATTTGCTTAGCCAACAAGCATTGCCATGGAAACCTGCATGCAGGTTGCATGAAAAACACTGCATGACATACATGTTCAAAGCCCCAAGGGCTGCCATGCCAAAAGCCCGGACGGGCTGCATGTCATGCATGAAGCCAGGAAGAAGCATGATCAAATACATACATTGCCCTTATCAAAAATTAAAAACACAAGCTGCTAAAATTATGCTAAAATTAACATGAAATTAACATGATCCTAATTTTACTCTAACAGTTAGCATTTCATCTATTCATTTAGAACAGTTATAACCCTTTACACTGCACTTAGAACATGGTTACACCATTGTTAGTGTATACTTACTAACAGCGGCAACCTCGCTAAATCAGTAGCTAACCCACAGCCCATCAAAGTATAGGGTCTAGGTAAGGGACTGCCCCACTCTGTAACAGTTGGAGACTATGTACAAGATGACGACTATGTACGGCCCATGATATGACCCCTAATATAGACTGTTACTGTTGCAGGGTGTGGCAGTTCCCAAGGTCTAGGGTTTAGTCACCAGGAATAGTGGGTATTTGGTGGATATTAGGGGCTACTTCGGGGGTCTAGGAAGACCCCGAACCCTGAACCCTAAATCCTAAACTTGGGCCTGGAACCCTAAACCCACAACCCCGAACCCAAAGCCCTCAACGCGGCCTTGCTCTCTGTCTTGCTTTCCGCCTTGGAGGCGGCCTTGCCAGACGCCTGCCAGGGCCGAGAGCAAGCCGAATAAAGGAGCCTTCATAGCTGGGATAGGGTGCTACTTAACGGATCATGGGACTTAGTAACTAGGGTTAGAATTAGGGTAACTATACTTAAAGCCACTTATAACCCCCATTAAGGTACTTATAACCTTACTTACTAAGTCCCCTGATCCTCCAAGTACTGTTGATGATACAAGCCCTGCACTACCCATAATGAGGAATGGAATAACAATGCTCATAGTCTAGGGTCATTAAGGTAATGCAAGATTTATATAGAATAGGAGATCATGGTTCCTTGAGGTAGGGTGCCTTAAAAGAAGGTTCTATACTGAGGGATACGATAAGGGCTCTATGATAGAGGGCTAGAAAAAATTGGAATAGGGTCACTGGGTGCTTTATATCACAATCCTATTAAGGAACCCTCACGGATATTGTTGGTAGCTAACTAGCTAACCACAGTAGTGAGTTTGCTGGAATAATTCCCTGAGAGCCCATGTACCCATATTGCGGTATATACGTGCATATACTTTTGGTCTTGCAGTGTTGCCCAAGACTACGCCTTACACACTTTGGCCGCGAACTACAGACATAGGGACAAACAAATACTTGGGCGCATGTATATTGCAAGTGAGTGCTTGGGCCCATAAGGTTAGGGTGTGGGGTTCAAGATTTTTCGTCATCGTCATGGGACCCATTTTTTGTCAGTTAACCACAGCATGTGCTCCAGCCGATCATATCCATAAAGCATAATCAGAACAAGACTTTGGCATAAAGACGTTCTACGGTGACCATCCGAAGGGCCACGAGGGAGTCGCGTGGTTTCGTGGTTAAGTTTTCAACGCACTATGTTACCGTAATAAACCGATGCGAAGACACTATTAAAATTAAAACTCGCTATGAGTGAACTGCACTGCAAGAAAGACCCTGTATCCAAGCCCTTCTGAAAGCACTGGCAAAGCCTGTAAAACCAAAGAAAGCCACCCTAGGCCCTACCTGGGACCATAAAAACCTACTTTTCCTAAGGAGTATACATAAGGAGCCCTACAAAAGGATGATTTTTCGGCTACGGGTAAGCACTATACTCCACCCTAAACCCTAAACGCTAAGACCACGAGGAATGCTGCCTTTGCTTCCAAGCTGGGCGCGCGGACCGCTGGTGCAGGTGTGCGGTCTTGGATCAGGCTTAGGCTGGGGGCTATAGGATCCCAGAGGGTCCTATGGGTTCCTTTAAAGGGTTCCTTTGAAGGGCATTAAGGGTACCACAAGGGTTTAGGGTATAAGGGTCCATATACCCAAAGAGTACATACCTTGGCTCCAATGTGCTTACATAGGGACTACTTTAAGGCTAATGCATAGACTATGTGAGCACGTGGACCCTTAGGCGGAGCTTACGGGGTTCCTTCTTTAAGCGGCTATAAGGACTTCATAAGGTTCCTTCAGAGGGCTTACAACGGTTCCTTCCTTCAAGCGGCTATAAGGAGGCTTATAGGTTTCTTTACCGGCTCTTTTGAAGCCTTCGGGTAGGCTTAGGCCGAGCATGTCGAGTGTCGTGTCGCAGTCTACTTGCAATGGAGTTTTGCGGCCGCTCGCGCGGACAGCTTCGACATCACGTTGTGGGCCTCATCTTCAGCCGCAGTCTTGAGTGCCTTCCAAACATACTGCGCAAGGCTTTCAAGACGCTGAAGCTGAGGACGGTCCTGTGCCGAGTCGTCCTCTGCAGCTTCCTTCAAAGGGGAAAAGGAGGGACCCTTAATGGGGACCCCTCTATATAATGGGTATATATTGGCTATATTAAGGGTATATACCTAGGGTCCTTATTAAGGGTCCCTCCTTTTACCTGTGGATCCCTGATCGCCTCCACGTGACGTTGCTATACCTGGCCCTTTCCCGAGCGTCCATCCTGCCTATAGTCTCCATTGTAGTTCCTTTTTTTGGTTAACCAAAATCTCTATTATAGGATCCTAACCATAAAACTGGTTAACCAAAAAAAGGAACTACAATGGAGACTATAGGTGTGGTCCATGCTGGGCACATCTCAAACGAACCACGATCGATGTCTTCCGCTTCATATGGGTGGTTGTCAAAATTAGGGTCCCTTTCAAGGGCTCTATAAGGGTTACTATAAGGGATACTACGAGGGATACCATAAGGGATACTATAAGGGTATATACTATAATATGGGTGGTTGTCAAAATTATGGTCCCTTTTTAGGTCCCCATTAAAATACGGCACCTAATATTCAAGGTACCCCAAAAGGGACCCTAGTTTTGACAACTACCCATATGGGGATTTATAGGGCTGCTTGCACGGTTCAGGGTGTAGGGATTAGGCCTAGGACGCGGCATATAGACCCAGAGGGTCCAAAGTACCTGTATAGTAGAATGTAGGGTTTCTGTATTAGGTATTACTCGTATGACTTGGGGAAGTATCCCCCGTAAGAGTACCTGGGACCCTTTAGGAGATGCACCAACGACATGCAAAACTATAGACAGTCACACAAACGTAAGTATGCACGATGATATGCCCTTGAAGATGCCAAACGTAGATATCATTAGTACCCTATTATGAACCCGTTTTGAACCTCAAACCCGAATATAAACCCCATCGCAAAATTTGAAACCGTTGTATGAAAGCGTATAACCCTCACACCGCATTATAAGTACCACTATAAACCCCCAAACCCGATTCTGCACTTGACCCCCTGCCACCCCCAAGTTTAATGTTGCATTGATGCAGGGATTAAACCCAACGCCTGTGCGAATGCCCAAAATCCTGCATGACCCCACGGTGGTGCAACGTTGACATTAGGGGGTGCGGGGAAACGGACAGCGCGATGCGAGATATGTGCGATGATCTAGCTCATGCAGGAGTTTTGGGCATCAGCAGCATTAAGGACCATAAGGGCTCCGTTAAAGGGCCACTGGGGAGTCCTGGTTATAGACCAAAAACCCCAGAGTGCGAGTGTTGGGTTTGGCGCCAGGTGGAGGACCGGCTGGGCGGAAGCCAGTGCTCGTCCTGTCCGCACCGGGATTAGGGTTTAGGGGATTAGGGTTGAGGGTTTACCTTGGGATCCCAAACCCTACTGTTTTGAGGGTTTTCCCTTGTGTTTAGAGATCAGGACGTACTGTTTTGTAGGGTTTCGGGTTGAGGGTTTTATACCGTTCTAGGGTATGGGTTTGAGGGTTTAGAGGTCAGGGTTAAGAGTTTCAGGTTTACAGAAAAGGGTTTAGGCTCAAGGTTTGGAGAATGCTCTGGGCTGAGTCTATGTATACATGGTGTAGGCACGAAGATTTAAGGCATGCCAGGTAGTCTTACGGTTCAGGAATAAACAAACTCATTCTGCTGCCCAGTGCTGGTAGTACCTTCAAAGTGAACTACAATGCCCTGAACAACTCCAAACTGACCCAAAGGGTCCTAGGTACCGCTATGGGTGATACTTTCCTAAATCAGCAGAATGACTCCTAATCTGGAAGCCCTACATTCTACCATAATATGACCCTCTCGGTACGATTACTGCAGTACGCTCAATGCCAGCGCACATGGGTTTAGCCTTTAAGGCAGGGTCTCAGGGATTAAGCTGGATCGGGTTTAGGGTTCGGGGTTTTAGGGGTT